AAAAATAAATAAATAATTTAAAAAATATATATATTATTTAGTTATTTGGTACAGGATCTTGCTATGCAGCTCAGACTCTATAGGGATCCTCCTGTCTCAGCCGCCCCAGGTCTGGGATTACAGGCATGCGTCACCATGTTCAGTTTTGGTGACCAGCACTGTGCGCCAGGTTCTGGGGATTCAACCGAGGTTCTCGTGCTTGCCAAGCAAGTGCTTAGACTGCTGAGCCTTCTCTACAGCCCCTCAACAATTCAATTATGTTCACACATGTAGCAAGATGTTAACATTTATGAATTTGAGAAAAAATATACAAGAGTCCTGTAAACATTCAGATGTAAAGAAAGATCACAAGTCTGAGCTGTGTAGCAAGACTCTGTACCAATTTTTTTTAAAAAAATTTTAAAGATCAAAAAATTAATTTTGGGCCTGGGGACATATTTCAGGGGCATAAGACCCTACATGGCAAGTGGAAGGTCCCGAGTTCAATGCCCAGCCCCACATACCATGTACTCAGGAGGCTGAGACAGGAGGATTGCTGGGAGTTCAAGATCAGTCTGGGGGCTACCAAAAGTGAACACAAGGCTAGCCTGAACTGCATGAGACCCCATCTCAAAAACAAAAAACTTAGGCTCAGCTGGCCTCGAACTGAAAGCAATTCTCTTCTCTCAGTCTACCGAATGCTGTCATTCCAGGCATACACCACCACACCTGGATTCTCATTGTCTTTGAACACAGGAAACACTCTTGTCTTGGACCCCTTTTATTTCCTGTGCCCTATGAATACCTTTCCTACAGAATAAGTCACTCAGAGAGACCTAACCTAATTACCCTGCTTCTAAACTGTATATTTTAATTATTCATTTAATCATTCCTCTTTTCCCAGTAGCATATAAATTCAATTTCTCAGCCAGACATGGTACTGCACACTTGTAATCCTAGCACTCAGGAGGCTGAAGCAGGCTATCACTGCAAGTTTGAAACCAGCCTAGGTGACAAAGTGAGCTCAAGGCCAGCCTGAATTGCATAGTGAGGCCCTGTATCAAAAAGAGAGGGAGGGAGGGAGGGAGGGGGAGAGAGAGAGAGAGAGAAAGAGAATTTATGCTCTGTTCACCACTGTATTTCCCACCCTCAAAACAATGCTCGGCTTGTGGCACCCTCTCAATATGCAGTAATGAATTTTATATTATTTGTGTGGCTCATGTATTAAGCATTGTTTCCTTCTTATCTACTATTTTGTCCAAAACTCCTGCTCACATTCAACTTCTCATTTATTCAATTGAATGACATTTTGAAAAAAGTAACTCTCGAACATATTTTCTCATAGTTTCCTATGTAAGAAGATAAACCTTTATGAATCTTTGATTTTATTGTCAGACTGAACTAGAAGTAACTGTGAAGAAAAACAGAAGTGATCAGATGGAACATCACTTCTGGGGACCATCACCTTTGTCTTCCTTACAGCTTTAATCAGAATGGATGTGAGGAGGCAGGGTTCCCCTCCCAAACTGGAGAAGGCCACGATAAAACCAGTCAGAAATATTAGGCCTCTCACATTCCATCAACTTGCCAAGCCCCACCTACCTGCAGAAGTTCTGGATTTTGCTCAAATTATAAAAGCCTTTGCCTTTCACAGTCAGCCCCACTGTATGTGAATACGAAAAGAGGGGAAGTCTTATCAGGCAGACAGCTCTAGCAAGCACTGACTTACGCTGCGAGTAGAGCAAGATTTGAAACTCCAGAAGGGCACAAGTGAAAAGCTGAAACACATTCTCCACACCAAGCAGTTCAAAGACCTCTCTGACAGGAAAGTCAAATAGTGGAAGCTCATTGGTACTTGGTCTCTGGCAGATTATTGGCCCATAGACCCCGGAAAACTTCAAGGACCGACCAGGTGGTGGAAGTGGCACCTCGTAAAGCACATTGTATATGTAGCTCTCAAGGGGTAGAGGTGGGGGCTGAGGTGAAGTGACAGCCTGGTGGAGCTGCTCCAACACACTCCGACAAGCCTTCATGAAGGACATGGGTGTGATGAGGCAGATGCACTTAGAGACGTAGAGAGTGTCCCGGCTGATGTCGTATGAATTGAAGCGCTGCAGCTTGGTCCCAGGAGTTCCTTCACCATCTTCCATGCTACTCTGGTCCCGGCCATCAGTAAGGGGGGTATGAAAGACATCATATTCAGCATTGTGCATGTGGTAGAGGGTCTGCATGGCACTGCAGATTTGCTTGCTTGCCACCTCTTCATAAAATGTGAGGGCAAACCCAAATGTCCGAGAGCCATCCTCCCTTGTGATAATAAAGGCATGGAACTGGGGCTCCCTAGGATCAGCCTGGGTCTTGAATGCCAGCCCTTTGGGCATACAGAGCTGCAAAAAACAAGGCAACAAGCAGTGAGAACATTCACTACTGACCCTCTCCAGGATATATTTCCTATCTACCTAACTAACACCTGCTGTGCTGGATATACTACACATCTACCTGCTCTACAGCTATCCCAATCTACTTCATCGACACAAGTCAATGAAATTAAAACACAGTCACTAGGACTATGCAGAAGCATCTACAAAGTACTGTGGAAACACCAAACAAAAAACTCAACCTAAGAACAATAGAAACAGCTTCAGAAATGAGGTTATACTAGAATTCATCGAGCAGACAAGGGAAATAAGAGCATTTCAGAAACAGGAAGAAAATGTAAAGATAAAAAAGTAAAAGAGGGTCAGCCTAATAGGTCAGTGGACTAAAGCGCCTGCTTAGGCAGAGTGCAGCATCTGGGGTTTGATCCTTGGCATGCTGTGCTAGCCCCACCCACAGAGCGCTCTGAGAGGTCGATCGAGACTGGGTATGGTGGCATGTGACTGTAATCCCAGCATTTGGGCAGGCGAATCACTGTATGTTTGATCAACATAATGAGATCCTGTAGATCCTGTAGACCCTATCCTAAATACAGGAAATAAAATTAAAAAGTAAAAGAATATTTGGACAATTTAGGAAATAATGGGATGGTTAGGCATGGCAACCTGATAGAGAGTAAGATACATATTAGATGATATTAGAAATACATCTGTAGTGGGCCTAAGGAGAGTCACATGGGGAGAAGATATTCTCTCAGGCTTTCACAGAGAGCACATTGGCCAAGCAATGGCCGTGACTCATCCACA